ATACGTCAAAAAAAATATTTATCCCAAAATAAATTTATTTAATCGTCTTGAAAGACTTCTACTGGAATAAATAATTAAAGAACGCATTAATTAGTTCCATAAAATTTAAACGAACAATATTTCAATGGAAATTCGATGAATAGTTCTGACTCTATTTAAACGGAAGTAAATATAAAAGGTTTTATATTTTATCAATTACTTGCTATCATTTAAGCATTCTCAATGATTGAATATCCATTAACTTTTTTTTCTCTATTGCTGACTAACTAACCGTAGCAAAAAAAAATTCAGCACCGGTAATTATTTAATCAATAAAAAATTCCAATAAAACATGAATTAAGTGATGAAAAAATATTGAATTATTATGATAAAACCTTGAATGACTCTCAACTCATTTTTATATTTATATATTGTTGAGTGGATAAAAAAAAATGAACATAAATATAAACATAAAGGCGGTTGAATTTTCGCTCTTAAATTCTTATCGATTTATTTCGAAGTTATGAAATTGAACGACGTGAAATAGAATACGAGCCGAGAAAGCGTGGAAAAGAGGTCATAGATTTTTCATAACATTGGAGAATATCATTCATCGGTGACTGCAAACATCTGTTGATACATTTATGTATAAAAGATGAAAATCGAAGAAATAGCGTCGGGCGGGAATATATATACACGGTACATATCGTATCTCTGTTATCAGAGTTTAAGACTTGAGTAAATGTCGTTACTCCCGGAACCGGTAAATGGGTTTGACGATTTCCAACGACAGTTTCATCTCTTCATCCTTTCCTATCTGATATTCATTAACTTCGGAAATAAGAAGCTACGAGGAACGCAACTAACTTTATAAACACAAGACGCCGGTCTTTCTATAATCCTTAGCTCCTTATCTTCAGTCATTTACCAAATGGTCAGTGACTTCGACTAATAAAGACTTTATTTTATATTATGTCTAACTTACTTTGTAAGAAGATTAAGTAATCAACCTTCGATACCCTTATAATTCGATCCTATTAAAATTAAAGCCTAGACATCAATACTTCAATTTTCGTCCAAAATTATTATCACTAAAATAAACATTTTTAGGAAAATATTTACTTGAATCTAGTAAACAATTTTGAATAATTTCATTGTTTTAATTTTTAAACTAAGAAATTTTTCTTGGTTTAAGTAAATTTTATTCAATTCGACAATTTTTCGTCTTGATTTAAAGCAATTAAACTCTTCAAAATTATTTTCTTGGTTCAAAAATTTTTCTCTTAATTAAAGATAATTTTTTTTCAGTGTAAAAATCAAAACTATTATTATTTATAAACTTAATATTTAAAAAAAGGAAAATCTTGTATAAAAAATTTTTTATGCTAAATTTGGTGTCATTAGAAAGATTTAAACTCTAATTTTTGTTTTTTGATAATTTTTTAAAAATAATCAATTTTTTTAAATTAAATTTTTGAATCATTTCTTTATATAAATTTGGATCTTCAAATTTTTATAAATTGATCTTATAATAGCAGAACTATATCTTAGATTTATTTATATTATTATTTTTTATTATTTACATTGCATATGGTTTGGACACATGTTATTTTATCGGTTAGTATTCATCCGAAGAAGAAAAACTCCAGAGCTTTATATAAAGAAACCTTGACAGGTCCAGTTTCCGTTTTATTTTCCATCTTCTCTACCATATATACACTCATGCCACTAGCATAGTATATTATTAAACCCATTTCTAAAATAATTTACATTAAAAAAATAATCTTTCAAACTCTCAAGCTTATCAGCTTTAGTAAATTTCAATTTACACCTTTTACGTGACACTAAGTAAAAATAATTCTCAAGTTAATACCAATTTACGATTACTGGAAATTCATTTGCGTCATCACAAAAAAAGTATTTTTACTCCTAATGACTACGCATACCCGATCTTCCTAATCAATTCATGTTTCTATTAAAATACAAATTATCAATATTAATATTTTGTAAATAATATTATCGCGAATCGGATTGCTGATTAATATCTAATTCAATAAGTACCGAATTGATCATAAAATATATTCACAAACTAAACCATAAATTTGATGGAAGAGAATTAATGATACAACACACTCCAAATAATATTTTGAAATATGATTTACATTTAATTAAGCGAATTACAATCTGTTTTCGCATTACCATCCTATTGTAACGCATCGAATACACACAGTAAAAAATTTTTCGTCAAATTTAACACAAAAACTTGTGTTGATGACTTTTTTTACACAATTTGTGTTGAATCAACACTCTATTGTGTTGAATCAACATACTAAAATGTTAAATTCTACACACTAAAATGTTAAATTCTACACAAACATTTTTACACTTTACACAATGACGAATTTTTTACTGTGCAATAATATGTATTACAAATCCCCGATAATACGTCATGGAAATTTTTAATTTGTTTTAAACTACCCGTTAATAAATCAGTAAAATGTTGTCATAAATTTTCTATAAACATAAACTATTATAAAGAATAAAAATAATTTATTTACCGATAGAATTTTTTTAGGTCACGGGAACCACTAGAGATTTTCAAACTTGCTGGAGGTTGTTTATATATTAGCCGCATGTATATGGGTTATTTCAGGCATGGTTCGAAGCTATTTTCAGTTGGGTTAAAAACACCGGGAATGGGGAAAGATGTTGAAATATAAAAAGACTTAATTTTTAAATCAGTATCACAATGCCTGCGCGCTCAAGCAAGTCGAGTATTTTTATTTAAAAATTCGTCTCTGAAATTTTACGAAAATAAGTTACATAAATTTTTTAAAATGCGCGTCTCAAAAAGTTGCATTTTGTACTTTATTGTCCTACTTGTTGGTTCAATGATTGTACTAAGCAGTGCGAAGCAAAAAAGTCAGGGTGAGTTTTTATTAATAAGTAACTATTTTTTATAAATACATTTTTATTGGAAGATTTATAAAAAATTTACGGAAATCGATAAGTTGTTCTATCTTTATATGCTCGGTCGGTCAGTGAACATTAACAGTAAAAAATCTCTAGGTTAAAAATAAAAAATAAATTTTGCAAGGAAATATTCGCTTTAAAAATATTTCTTTATCTGCTTTTAAATGATTAATTTCTAAATTTTGCGATGAGATCTATTCCGAGAACTCAAGACACGCTACTTTCGAATTCCTGTCTATACACTATCCTATTTTAATAAGAATGCGAGGACTATAATAATAAATAATAAATAAGTTGTTGAAGACAGAAATAGTTGAAATATTTGCATGTGAATATATATATATATATATATATATATATATATATATATATATATATATATATAATTATTATCACTAAAATAAACATTTTTAGGAAAATATTTACTTGAATCTAGTAAACAATTTTGAATAATTTCATTGTTTTAATTTTTAAACTAAGAAATTTTTCTTGGTTTAAGTAAATTTTATTCAATTCGACAATTTTTCGTCTTGATTTAAAGCAATTAAACTCTTCAAAATTATTTTCTTGGTTCAAAAATTTTTCTCTTAATTAAAGATAATTTTTTTTCAGTGTAAAAATCAAAACTATTATTATTTATAAACTTAATATTTAAAAAAAGGAAAATCTTGTATAAAAAATTTTTTATGCTAAATTTGGTGTCATTAGAAAGATTTAAACTCTAATTTTTGTTTTTTGATAATTTTTTAAAAATAATCAATTTTTTTAAATTAAATTTTTGAATCATTTCTTTATATAAATTTGGATCTTCAAATTTTTATAAATTGATCTTATAATAGCAGAACTATATCTTAGATTTATTTATATTATTATTTTTTATTATTTACATTGCATATGGTTTGGACACATGTTATTTTATCGGTTAGTATTCATCCGAAGAAGAAAAACTCCAGAGCTTTATATAAAGAAACCTTGACAGGTCCAGTTTCCGTTTTATTTTCCATCTTCTCTACCATATATACACTCATGCCACTAGCATAGTATATTATTAAACCCATTTCTAAAATAATTTACATTAAAAAAATAATCTTTCAAACTCTCAAGCTTATCAGCTTTAGTAAATTTCAATTTACACCTTTTACGTGACACTAAGTAAAAATAATTCTCAAGTTAATACCAATTTACGATTACTGGAAATTCATTTGCGTCATCACAAAAAAAGTATTTTTACTCCTAATGACTACGCATACCCGATCTTCCTAATCAATTCATGTTTCTATTAAAATACAAATTATCAATATTAATATTTTGTAAATAATATTATCGCGAATCGGATTGCTGATTAATATCTAATTCAATAAGTACCGAATTGATCATAAAATATATTCACAAACTAAACCATAAATTTGATGGAAGAGAATTAATGATACAACACACTCCAAATAATATTTTGAAATATGATTTACATTTAATTAAGCGAATTACAATCTGTTTTCGCATTACCATCCTATTGTAACGCATCGAATACACACAGTAAAAAATTTTTCGTCAAATTTAACACAAAAACTTGTGTTGATGACTTTTTTTACACAATTTGTGTTGAATCAACACTCTATTGTGTTGAATCAACATACTAAAATGTTAAATTCTACACACTAAAATGTTAAATTCTACACAAACATTTTTACACTTTACACAATGACGAATTTTTTACTGTGCAATAATATGTATTACAAATCCCCGATAATACGTCATGGAAATTTTTAATTTGTTTTAAACTACCCGTTAATAAATCAGTAAAATGTTGTCATAAATTTTCTATAAACATAAACTATTATAAAGAATAAAAATAATTTATTTACCGATAGAATTTTTTTAGGTCACGGGAACCACTAGAGATTTTCAAACTTGCTGGAGGTTGTTTATATATTAGCCGCATGTATATGGGTTATTTCAGGCATGGTTCGAAGCTATTTTCAGTTGGGTTAAAAACACCGGGAATGGGGAAAGATGTTGAAATATAAAAAGACTTAATTTTTAAATCAGTATCACAATGCCTGCGCGCTCAAGCAAGTCGAGTATTTTTATTTAAAAATTCGTCTCTGAAATTTTACGAAAATAAGTTACATAAATTTTTTAAAATGCGCGTCTCAAAAAGTTGCATTTTGTACTTTATTGTCCTACTTGTTGGTTCAATGATTGTACTAAGCAGTGCGAAGCAAAAAAGTCAGGGTGAGTTTTTATTAATAAGTAACTATTTTTTATTATTAACTTTTTATTGGAAGATTTATAAAAAATTTACGGAAATCGATAAGTTGTTCTATCTTTATATGCTCGGTCGGTCAGTGAACATTAACAGTAAAAAATCTCTAGGTTAAAAATAAAAAATAAATTTTGCAAGGAAATATTCGCTTTAAAAATATTTCTTTATCTGCTTTTAAATGATTAATTTCTAAATTTTGCGATGAGATCTATTCCGAGAACTCAAGACACGCTACTTTCGAATTCCTGTCTATACACTATCCTATTTTAATAAGAATGCGAGGACTATAATAATAAATAATAAATAAGTTGTTGAAGACAGAAATAGTTGAAATATTTGCATGTGAATATATATATATATATATATATATATATATATATATATATATATATATATATAAATAAAATGAATTAATGATACCATAAATGTCTCTGTATCATACATCAATGATGACTCATAGTGTAAAATATTTAAGTAGGTATTATAAATACAAAGCCATTGATCTCGTCCGAAAATGTTCATGCTTTTTAATAAAATTCTGTCAATTGCGCGTTTACGTGACGGTAATCCGCGGATATTTTGGTATGATAATTTTAAACGGGATATTTTTAAATAGGATCAATAAACTTGATCCCGGTGTTGACTTACCGAGGATATAAATCAAAGAATTCATTCAGGGATATATGTCGAGCTATAAATGTAAATGTTTAGTGAACTGTATCGATGCTGTAAAAATTATTACCGTCGGTGAGATAAAAGACGAGCTTTTATTTTATTGTTGAAAATTTTTGATTTTATAAGTGTATTTTTGAACTTAAGGGTGAATTTTATGGTGATGAATCTTTAAAAAAATAATTTAAACAAAGTTAACAAATTAAACAAAAATTATTTAAGAGCTAAAATTTTTTTTTAAACTATTTAAAATGATATTTTTTTCTCTGAAATTGATTTGATTTTTTTTGTCCATCAATCAGAACAATAAAAAAGAATTGTTTTATTTCCAGCACTGCGAAATAATTTACATTCTAAAATCCCTAACAAAGATAACAACGCCACGATTGAACCATTGACGAAAACTCCTAAATCGCACTGCTCAAAGGGATACCGACGGACTTGGATTGGAAAATGTGTGAAAAAACATCGCGCATGACTAAGAAGCGGGTGGTCAAATGTGAATTTTACCACTCACGACTCGAAGATAACAAATAAAACTCATTTTAAATGATACACTATAATACTAATTTTTTTTTTTTAAATTGTCTCATTTATACAATAAAATTTTCTAATAAACAAAACGTGTTTTACTCAGATAATCCCAGGATAAAATTAATGATAAAAATGAGTAATCGTTAATCGAATATGCAAATTTTTTCGCATACGGCTGAACGGTTATTTATAGAAGCAATGTTCGGTAGAATAGAGATTATTTTAAAAGTACTTTCATTTTATTTGAACAATCCTTTGAGAATATATTGCTGGACAAGCCAAGGATATTTATGAGACTCACACGCATAAGCGTTGGTAAACGGTTCACTGGAGTAGAGAAGAGAACTGTTTCCGGAATTCATGGATATTCGTAGTCCACCATGCCCCTCATGGTGTAAAGCTGCATTAGTTCTCTGTTGAACATGCGCCAAATACGCCGTATCGTTGTATTAATTTTTTTTAACATATTCTATTGTGTTTGTACTTTATTTTTAGCACCAACAGTACATAAACGTCAAAAAATTATTTTAATAAAACATTTTAAGTTATTTTTTTCTTATTTATAATTTCTAGTGGAATTTTTTTAAGATAATTTATTAATTTATTTAATTAAAATTTTCTATTTAATATTTTATTTTACTGTTAATAAATATTTAACAAGTCTTCTAATGTTTAAAAATAATTTATTAATAGTCAAATCATTTTTTTAAATATCAACAAATTTTTTGATTTATAATCTATATTATTAAGAGAATAAGCAAAATTTGGTGGCCAGTGAATTTATATAATAAAATGGGTAGTCACCAATTTATGATGATAGGTATTTGGGCTACATTCGAAAATGCTCTATCTCTAGATACATAATTAAGAAATGACCTTGTATCTTGTAAACTATTGACATTTTAAAAGATATAATCTCATCACGATATTACACTCGTCAAGACCTTTCATTTAAGTACCCACATCAATTTTTCATATATTTATATATATTATATATATGTATATATAAAAAATATATCAAAAATGCATGTGGGTACTCAAATGAAAGCTCTTGATGAGTCTAACATCGGGATGAGCTTACATCTTTAAAAAGATCAATAGTTAAGAAAATACACTGCAATTTAACAAAAGTCATTAATTTAATAAACCAAAATTTTATTTATAATTCACATAGTAACTGCAAGATTGCTAGTTAATAATTATTTCATTTTTATAATTTCATCTACAAAATTATTAAAAAACTTTCTATATATGAGCTTCATTTTTTATAAAATATAACTAAGTACACATGATCTCACAAATGTATAAACTCCCAACAAAAACAACTTTATCCAAAGTTTCAACAAAAAAAAAACTTTGAAATAATCTATTTAATGCACTTTAAAAATTTTCCTAACGCTCAACATTTTAACCAAACTTTAAAATTTTTTCAATCCCCCGAATTCAATATGTAGCTAAATAAAAGTTTTAACTTCAACATATAAAAGCAAAATACTGAAAAATTCTCCGACACACGATTCCTCTTATCCAAAATAAAATAAAAGGGAAAAAGATAGAGCGCAGTATTAGCTCGACTAAAAAGTGAAAAGTGTAAACAAAAAAGAGTAAAAAATGACAGTTGATGTACGTAGGTAAACAGACTGTTGGATTATCGAGTGGAATATTCTGGCGGACGAAAGTCTCTCTCTTTATACCATAGAGTCCCTCGGTCTGTTCTTTCTCCGGATTGCCCTCGCTAAAACTTGGGATCCCTAGACACATAAGTTTGATATCGTCCCAAGCCTTCATCAGGTCTTTAACGGAACCAATATATCCTCGCCACACTCCCGCTGGAGCGACGATAAGCCAAAGCGCTCGTATTCAAGTGTAAATACCCCTTTTGGTGCGCCCTCCTCTGCTCTGGATATAGACACAGCAAACCCTTGGAACTCATATCCACCGAGCAGAGCAAGCAAGCCCACCTTATACATATTGGCGATGCCGGTGAATCGCATCACAGTGAACCAGCAAAATGTGCTCATCCAACTGATCTCTTCCTCATCAACTGTCTTCAACAGGAGTTAGATATGCCTCTCTATGTGCCCGCTGAATTCATACCCGATTAACTCCGTGGTTAGGTACATGAGCGAGTCTTTTGCAATAATATACCCAATGAGCATTGACAATGATATTGACAGGCTGTAAGCTCGAGAAGGATCGGGCTCATTCATCCGTGCTCTTGTCAAGTGCTTCGGACAGTACAGCCAGCCCAGAACCCAGATCATCAGTCTTTTAATGTTGGACTTCCTTCTTTACTTCTACGGCTACGACTTTTAGAATTTCTCAGTTTGTGCTGATAAAAAAATTGAGTTTAGTTGAGGGGAAAATTCTTGAGATAAAAAAAATTATTTTTAACAGCTTGATTATATTTAATAAAAAATTTCTAATTGATTTAAAATAATTAAACCCTTTAAAATATTTTTTTTTTCAATCAATTTTTTGTATAAAAAATTTTATGAATTTCAAATCCATAATTTCAGATCCATAATTAAGAAATGGCCTTGTATCTCGTGAACTATTGACATTTTTAAAGATATAAGCTCATCCCGATGTTACACTCATCAAGACCTTTCATTTAAGTACCTACATCGATTTTTCATATATTTATATATATATATATATATATATATATATATATATCATATATATGTATATATGAAAAATATATCAAAAATGCATGTGGGTACTCAAATGAAAGCTCTTGATGAGTATAACATCAGGATGAGCTTATATCTTTAAAAACATCAATAATTACGAAATGACAATATATTATATATATGTATATACGAAAAATATATAAAAAATGCATGTGGGTACTCAAATGAAAGCTCTTGATGAATGTAACATCGGGATGAGCTTATATCTTTAAAAACGTCAATAGTTACAAAAGTACAGTGCAATTTAACAAAAGTTATTAATTAAAAAAGCAAAATTTTATTTATTATTTATTATTATCACATAATGACTGCAAGGTTGCTAGTAATTTTTATATCGCGATGATGATTAAAAAGTTGTGTAACCGCAATCAATTTTATCTGGACATTGAATCGTTAATGAGACAGCTCGAAAACTTGGGTGTTGAATCCGCAGTTGAGCAAGACGAATTAATCCTTCAATGCAGTCTCAATTTATTTCACAATTAGTGACGTATTCACGGAGTAAATTACAATGTTAAATCTAATTATAAGACTAATTCGTGTATTTAGGTATTCTGGAAAGGGCAAACCGAGATTTAACAGCCAGCTGGAAATTTAATTTTAAAACCACAACCGACTGGACGATGCTACTCTACTTGAATCACTTCTGATTATACATTATATGTTATATCAGTCACACATTATACATCACATAAATGTTAAATTAATCAACCCATGATATTATTTCCACTTGGACGATTCAATGGATATAATAAATATTCATCCTGTATCAGAGTTTGTACAACTATATGACTATAAATGTATGACACCGGACAAACGAGTTATCGAATTCCGCGAATATGTTCTTTTAATGTACGCACACAGTTTTTTTTGTTTCATTTCATTTTATTTCAACGATAGACACACGATTCATCCAGCATCCACCCACGCGGAGAATTAGGTTTTATCATGAATATATAATTTCAGCCTTTATCTCTTGACTAACAATTAAAATAATAATAATTATTATTATTTTATTTGTATGAATATTTTTATAATTTATACAATTAGTTTCGTAAGTTTGATGATTTCCAGTTCGGTGACACAAATGATAATATTGATTAAATTATCGTCCATCAAACACTAATTCAATGTGCAAAAATGGTAATCTAAATTCTCAAACTAATTTTATTTATTAATATATTTAATTAAATAACGCTCTTTAAATTCTTAGTACGGACGTAGTAATAAAGAAGTTGTTAAATGTACTTGATACTTGTACTACAAGTTTATTATTTTTAATCTAGTGAATTAATTATCAAAAATAAAAAAATTTATTTTGCATAAACTCATTCTCATTTTTTTGTGAGAACCGTAAAAAAAACTTTAAACTTAATGCCAAAACATTTTATTTTGGTTTTTGTAAATTTTATTTTAATTTTAATAATTTCTTTAATTACTCACCAACTGTTGGCTGATGGAGACGATGATACTTGATACAATTGGAAAAAGGTATTTGTGAAATTAATAGTAGACAGTCCACAATTTTTTCTTTAAGTTATTAAAAAAAAAAAAATTATGTGCAATTTTTTTTATTTATTTTTCCTCTAGTTATTTAATTATTTAAATAGATAATCAATCAATTAATAACTTTTCAATTTACTATCATAAATATTATTTCTTTTTTTTTTATTTTGAATAAAATAAATTTTAAATATTTAAGATTTTATTCATGAAATTTATTGATTGTTTTTTGATCAATCATTCAACTATGAAAAGCAATTTTAAAAATTATCAGTATCTACTCGGTTTATTATTCCAGACACATGATAATTTTGAAGTAAAATAAACTTCAAAAATAGAATTTCAAAAAATAGAATATCAAATTTCTGTGATTTTTAAACTAGCAAAAATTATTTAATAATCTAAAGCCAAAATAATTTTTTAAATTGCACTAGATTTTTTTTTTGGTATTTTTATAACTTGTAATTTTTAAAAAAACAAACCAATACTTGTCGTCTGTCTTTGTAATATACTACTTTTGTATCACAAAATACCTGGATCTCCAAAATATCCAATTCCGCAGAATACCTGTAAAAAAAAAAATTGAATTAATTTTTATCACCAAATAAATTTTGAGGTAATTAAAAAGTACTCACCAGTTGCAAATTATTTATGATAATTACATGCTGATAATAAATGTATTTATTTCTTCATGTAATCCAACAATGGCGTTAATTTTTTCTGAACACTTCACTGACACTAGCAA